CTGGATGATCTCCTGAGGTCCCTTCCAACCCCCACCAGTCTGTGATTCTGTGGTTCTGTGGTTGTTAAAAGCTCTGGATTTATGTCTGACTCTTCCAGGGGCCTGTCTGTGAGATGCTGGACACAGCAGGGACTCAGGCCAGGAGGAAATGCTCCTACGTGTTTATAAAACTACTCCCACCCAGTGTGTCATCTTCAATGTCCAGATTTCCTTTGTCTTATCTCTTGATCCACCATGATTCTTCCCTTCCCCTCCTCTAATTTTCCAGCTTTACTTTTTTTGGTCTGTCCTTTTCCACCAGGGCTCTCTCAGCAGAGGAAGGTATCTTAAACTGGGGTGAAGCATGAAGACCCCTCTAAAGGGTCCAAGGCCTTAGCAAGGCTGAGAACCAGGTGGAGAACCCCTGGTGGATATTAAATCTGCCTGTTGGTTGGTGCAGTTGGAGAAGCACAGAGTCCTGCAAGACATTTCTTGCTGCTGCTGTGGCAAAGAGATGTCTCCAAAGCTGCTCAAAGGGTTAAAGTGCAGTTGGCCTCACTAATTAACCTCTGCAGCAGATTCCCACACACTGAGATCAACCCTAGGAAATAGAGAGAGTGTTTGTGCCCAGAAGAACGGGATGGAGAGAGGGGGGAGAAACACCGACCTGGACAATGAAACAGGAGTTGGCAGCAACCAGAGTTGGACTTGGCTGAGACTACAGGCTCGAGCCTAATTAATCCTGATGTCTGTGCCTTACGAAGTGGGGGGAGCAGGTCAGGGCTGGCTTCTGTGGCTTCCATATCTGCAGCCAGGTTAGTGGTACAGGGTGGTTTTAGTCTGGACAGCTGTAGGTCACTGGAGGACCTAGAGCTCCTCCATGCTACAGGAGGATCTCTGCCTTCTAGAGGCCTCCTGCTTCGAGCTGGCAGGAGTGTCCCTGCAGGGACATGTTGCCCACAGGGAGGGGTGACCAGGTGGTGGTCTGTTCAGCTTCTGGAGAGCTCAACTGGTGATTTTCTTGGGTTTTCATGACCTTTGCTCTTAGGCAGCACTGTGGGCTTGAAGGTCTTTCCTGCAAGTCTATGGGGATCATTTCAGAGCTGGGGAAACTGAGTCACAGAGCAATGCCAGGGTCAAGGGGAGACTCTTGTGGACCTGCTCCCAGCCCTGGCAAAGTGATGACGTGGTCTTCAAAGTGCTGTGCTCTGTGCCAGTGGGGCTTGTCCTCCATGGTTGGCAAAGCCTGTGGTGCTTGGGAGAGCTTTGGGGTGCTCCCCTGGATCCTGAGGTGCCTGTGTCAGCAATGCTGCCATGGGCATCAGCTCCTGCCTGCTGCCAGAGAGCAGGGATGAAGAGCCATGGCTCCTGGGACAGCAGCTGTGCTCCCAAACTGGTACGGAAACTCTTCTGCACCTTCTAATCATCACGGATTTCCAGGTACAAACTGTCAACCAGCACTCTGGTCCCTTCTCCTGTGTCCTGTCCTGCCAGCCCTGGGGCTGCTGACTTGGAGAAAACACCCAAATTACTTCCCAAATTGGTTAAGTTGATGAGCTTCTCTTGAAGAAGATGGAGGCTCTGATCAGCTCAGCCCGTTCCTGGGGCTGAGTGCTCCCTTGGATGTTGACTTTGCGGTCCTGGAGCTGAAGGAGAGGACGTAAGGACCAGTCAACTGTGACATCTCTAAGTTGTGTGGCATCAGAAGGTTGGGATCCATGGCTGCCTTTGCTGTTCTCTGTGGGCAGGGCTCGGTGGGGACAACACCTCTAGGCTGGTGCCTTGATACTTGCCTATGGGCAGCCCATGTGGGGACACCATGGTCCTTCTCCAGGCCTCTCCTCTGGCACCTGGGGAGGACAGGAGGGATGCGAATGAGGCCAGGAGCTGGCTGGGTTTCTCCCAAGAGCTGCAGAACCTGCCAGGAGTATCCCCATCCTCATGGGCCAAGCAGTAGCAGGGAATGGCAGCGTGCAGTGATCTGCAGTGGGTTTGCTCTTCACTGTCCCAGGCCACACGTGGCTGCCAGGACCCTCCTGGGCTGCAGAGAGGATGGGAACTACACGAGCAGAGCCACCCAGGTAGACATGGGTCAAATGCAGTTGAAATGAAATGCTGTTTTGGTTTGAGGTTCTCAGAAAGGCTTGTTTCCACCAGAATGGACCAGTTCCTGATGGTGTCCAGTTCTGTCCTGCAAGCAGTTCTGAGATTTTTAATTTGCTCTTCACACAGAATGAGTATAAATGTCCAAATCTGAGTGTGAGCGACCACTCCCGGGGTGGAAGCAGAGTTCTCCATCAGTTCAGATTGGGGTAGGCTCAGCCAGCTGTACAGAAGAGTTCCATGACCTGAGAGAAACCCAGCAGAAGGTACCATCTGTTTTCTTGGTGAGCACAGCCCTGCTGGTATTGATCTCCATTTTCCTCTGGTCAACCTTCAGTTGGTGGTTTACCCAAGCAAAGCAGAGCAGAGGATGATCTGAGAATGAGCTGCAAGGCATTGACCTCTAGGTAGAGCAGACTCTACCTGTGTGTTAGTTGTGTGTGCTCTGGCACGTGCATAGAGGTGTTTGCAAGGATGGAGGTCTCTGGTCCTGCTCCTGTCCTGCAGGAAGGAGATGAAACCAAGAAGGTGCTTGAACAGTGCATTGGTGGATTTGTTGAGATCCATGGCAATGAGATGCCATCCTTTTCTTCCAGGGCTTCCCATGCTTTGTCTCCTCTCCTGTGACTTTCTCTTGGTGGGGCAGAGGCTCAGCTGCCTACTAGGTCCTGGGACCAGCCAGGACTTGGGTGACCAGTGTCCGAGGGGTGACCAGTGTCCAAGCAGAATGAAACTTGCCATCCAGCTAGAAATAAGTGTGCTGAGTTCCCAGCTGAGGGAACGGGGGTTGTTGAGCCTGGAGAAAAGGAGGCTGAGGGGAGACTTTCTGGCTCTGTCCAAGTCCCTTGGAGGAGGGTGGAGAGAGGTGGGGGTGGGTCTGTTCAACCAAGGAGCAAGGGACAGGACAAGAGGAAATGGGCTCCAGTTGTGGCCAGGGCAGTTGAGATGGGATGTGAGGAAGAATTTCTTTGCTGCAAGGGTTCTGAGGCATTGGAAGGGGTTGCCCAGGGCAGTGGTGGAGTCCCCATCCCTGGAGGGATTGAAGAGTCGTGTAGACACAGTGCTGAGGGACATGGGTTAGTCATAGGGGACTTGTCAGTGTTGGGTTCATGGTTGGACTTGATGAGCTTAAAGGGCTTTTCCAACCCAGGCCATTCTGGGATTCTGTGATTCTGAGGGCAGAGAAGCAGAAGAGCTGAACCTCTATGGTCAGAAGTTCAGCACTGTTTCCAGCAAGAGGGAGGGGGTTCTGACACCCAAACACTTTACAGGTGGCAATTTTCTCCAGAAAGATTGGGAGGAGAGAAGAAGCAACACAGTTACTGCCCCAGGGACCTGAAGAGCTCTTACACATCTGCTCAGGCAGAAGCACTATGAGCTACACCACGTGAAATCACAGCTTCACCAAAACATGCTGCAATCCATAACACAACAGCCTGCTTTCCAGGTAAACTTCAAAGGAGATGGAATGGGGACAAGAGGAAAATGTCCTTGAAGGCATCTACCAGGGACAGGTGGCCGTGAGGAGCACTAACCTGTAGGAGCAGCTCGCCCTCCGGTACCGCTGTTGA